CGGCTAATTGCTTCCGCCAGCCGCACGGCTGCTTGCTTAGTAGCACAGACAAGAATGACAAGGTCACTTTTTGGCTAGAGTGGACATTCTTTGGAAAAGACCATGCATTTTTAGTTGTGTATTTTACCAAAGTATTACTGGTTTTTAAAACTAAATATATTTGTGAATTTAGGATAATAGATAAAATATGTGACCCAACATTGGGCATTGCATAGTTTAATGTGAGTTCAGTCATTAGCATAATGAATTCTAGGCTTTAATTAAGTGGAAGTGCCAAATCATGTGGCCCATGCTCTACCATGCTAAGCAAAATTAAAACACTACTCATTGCTTTGATAATAGTGAGCATTTGTGGGTTTAGAAGTTTTGATTACAGTAGAAAATGCTCTCTGATGAAAAAGAAATGATTAAATTGGACATCAAAATTAAAATCTTATATTTTGAATGACAGAAAATAACAGAGAAGATAATTCAAATAATCCTTTCCCCCACTGAGAAAAATCTTTAACCTGGTAAGATACAAAATCACTTTCTTTTATTGTTTTTATTTTTTTTTTTTAGATTTTTGAGGTAGGGTACATGCACCCATCATAAAAAGAGATAAACAGAAAGAGAGAAAAAAAAATGAGATATCATCCCCCAAGAGGGATGGATATACCACGATTCCTTTTTCTTCTCTCTCCTCTCTAGATTTTGGGCATACACACACACACACACACTCACATAGACACATACACACACACACACCTTGCCTGATTCTCAAGTCATCAAGTCCAGGATTCGAACTGCAGAGTTGTCCATGTAGGATCCAGTGCCTTAACTACCACATCAACTACTTCCCAGAATCAATTTTTTGGAGAGGTTTTTGCTATAGGGTACGTGTGCTCTCCAGAAACACACACACACACACAGAGAGACAGAAAACAAGAAATCACCCCCCAGGGAGGATGGCCACACCACAATCCCTTCTTCTCCTTTCTCCTCTCTTGGAGCCTCATGCACACTTGCTCGGCGTGAGTTTAAGCCACCAGGTCCAAGACTTGAACCACAGTTGACTACATGGGAGTCCAGCAACAAAGCCATTATGCCAACTACTGGTCCCCAGAATCAATTTTTCAGAATAGCAAAAATACTCTTGTTAATATAATTTTTATTTAATGACTACCTATCATAAATCTACTCTATTATATAAAGTAGTACTTTAAATGCTAAGTGTATTTTGGTAAACTGCAAGTATTATTTTGTTTATGCTTTTTAAAATTTATTTATTTATTTATTTTATTTCTTGCTATAGGGTGTGTGCACTCACTAGAGGCAGAGAGAGACAGAGAGACTCAAAGAGAGAGAGAAAGTAAGAAATCATCCCCCAGGAGGATGCCCATTCCACAATCTCTTCTTCTCAGGATTTGGGGCATGCACTCAAACACACCAGGATATCTTTGAAGACACCTG